GATGTTCATGTTGCTGCAGTCTGCAGTCTGACCGCTAGATGTCGCTAAAAGTTACACACTGTAGCTTTAAATTATAAGAACAGTAAAATTATGCACAGCAAAGATTGTTGCTGCTAACATAAAGGATGGCTAGCATTGTATCCCTCTCGATAACAGCATTATTTAGCTCGCCCATTAGCACCTTTTCGGGTATCGTAGGGAAAATAATAGCCCCCCAAGGAAGCAGCATAATGATATAAAAAGTAGAAGTGGCCAATCTTGTTAAGGTCTCTGCGTAGTGCAGTAGTACATAGCTGGCACTTCTTTCAGGATCTCATTGGCAGTGAAAATGTCCTCTGACCTTTCAAGGCACCTCTTCAGCTGTGGAATCTCTGGATTTCCTAAGAGGTGATACCAAACATGACTGGCATGGTTACATGGGAAAAGGTTATGAAACATTTTGAATAATCCCACAATCGCCCTTTCTATGGATGCAAGATAGGTTATGCACCAATTCAATTGCAATGGAAACTAGAATCTAATCAGTAGACCTTTAAACTATGTTTTTCTCCTATGTTAGATGAAACTGATATATTGAAGCTAGTTTAGGAAACAAAAATACCTAATATTGCCTAATATGTACATAATACTCTGGCCAAAGCTAGGTGGGTGTGTACAGGATAGCCTGCAGGCTTTACACTACACAACATGTAGAAGTAGAAATAACTTTCCCCAACATTGTTAAAGCCTCTCCTCATCACCTAAGAGTGATGCTGTGAAGATCAGCTGATTTAGTCATTTTTTGGGGCTAAATCTTAAGATCCTTTTTTTTACACAAAGCTATCCAGGTAGATACCAATCTCCCCGAGTGATTGCAGCGGATATTATGGATTGCGCAGAGGCTTAAATGACGTTGTTTGGCTGTGATGACTTTGCAGGCGCATTAACTAGGCTTTTTTTAAGCAGGCTTTCGGTATTTGAGATAAAACTTTAACTTTCAGCTTTAACAAAGAAAACATAATAGGCCAGGTTGTGTAAGTTACAGATCATGCTTTGGTTTTATTTCTGCCTGATAAGCTCTCAGAAAAAGTCATGCTTTGTGATGTGATTGTCTGGCTGCAGACAAGGAGGAACAGCAGTGTCGCCAGCAAATGGCCGGTCTGGACAAGATTGTCAGCGATCTGGACAAACAAGAAAAAGCTATTTATACTCAAGTTCGCCCACCGCTGGAGCAGAACAGACCACTGCAGGACAGTGCTGACCGCCTGCACGAAATGAGGGTAATGACCCTTCGCTCCATTCTTTCTTCTTGTGTCCCACTTGGATTGATGTTTCTTAGAGGGTCCAAAGAGAGCTAATGCAGTTGTGATTTCTCTACAGGATATCGCTGCAGCCGTCAGTCGGATCGAACCAGAGAAGACATCAAAGGTTGCAGAGGCAAAGAGCTTCTTGACTTCAAACCCAAAATGTGCCAGTGCTCCTCAGCTCAACAGCAAAGTGGATGAGGCCAATAAGAAGTACACCAAGATAGAGCAGCTTCTGCAGTGCTCTCAGGAGAAGTATGTAGCCTGATGAGTTCCTCTGTCTGTTTTTTTCCCTTAATTTCTAAGCTCCTGAGTTCATCTCAACCTAGTCTTCAAATACAACTCTTAATTAAAATTAACGCAATATAAATGCTATTTATTTCTTAGGCTGAAGAACTCCAACCAGCTGGAGACATCTATTCAGAATGGAAAGACTTTACTGTCGACCTATGAGAACAAGCTGGCAAGAGAGGAAGTCGCTCCGGCGGATGTCGTCTCAGTGGAGAAAATGCAGCGAGAACTTGCTGTGAGATGACTTTTACAATATTTTTTCATACAGGCACTTTGCATCCTTAAGATTTATATGTGAAAACAGCTTAGAAATAAAATGAAATTAAATCAAACTTCCCCTCTAAAACATACCCAACGCTCCAAAATAACACCACCTGCTGCAAGTAGTTTATAATATTAATAAACAATGATAAAGAGATTTAGAAGGGTTTGCATTTGGAAGCTTTTCATTTTTCATGTTATACTATAATGACGGCACCACTTATCACCACCTGCAAAAAAAAAAACATTACTACATATTTAGTAAATCTTTTATTTTTTTTATCCTGCAGGATGTGGGATCAGACCTGAAGTCTCAGAGACCAGTGATCTCCGAGGCAGAGCAGAACCTGCGCTTGGCCAAAAGCAGCTGTGATACCATGGCCAAGAACTTCCAGGAGCATTGTCCGGACATTGAAAGACAAGAGGCTGAGGTTCAGAAAATCAACAAGCGCTACAACAACCTCAGCAGGCAGATTGACACCAGGTGAGCAGGACGCTTTTAACAATTCATGCTTCAAAGGTTCCTGAAAGCAATAAAACCCAACACCCCTATGCTAGCAGAATTGAACTAATGAAATATGTTTCTACATGCTAAAGGTCTCAAAGCCTGCAGAGAGCCAAGATGGCTTATAAGAATTACCGCAATGATTATGACAACCTGAATACCTGGCTGTCCCGTGTACCCAATTACGAGCCCCGGGAAACGGATGACCAGAAACAACTGGATGCCAAACTGAAGAACCAGAGGGTAAGATCAGCTGCAGCCGGATTTCAACCCTTCATAGTTCTATGAAATACGTTATCCTGATACTAAACAACACTTCTTTTCCAAAGAACCTTCTGTCTGACATAGCAAGAAAGGAATCGGACTTGAACAATGTCTCCAAAAATGCCCAGCTCTACCAGCAGGCTGTGAAGGTGACACATTTCTAACCAGTTATAAATACCAGTAAAGACAAAGAAAATGTTAAACTTAAAGCTAACCGATTTCTCTCTACAGGACTATGAAACTGAAACTGAAAAGTTTAAATCCATTCTTGATGTTGAGGATGGACTTGTACCTCAGTCCTATAAGAGGAGCAGACTGGAGTCTCCTGCTCTGGCAGTAAAGGCAGAGGTGATGTTGAAAACACCCACACTACCTACAGAATTACAGCTGTAAATTACATATTTCACTAAGACTGAAATGGGAACTAAAACCTTCTTCTATGAAATATAATGAGATGTTCTCTAAATTATATTTAAACCAATGCACCAAAGAATGTCCATTATAAAGGAATTTAACACAAGAAACCAACTAGGTATATTACTTATACAGAAAACACGCAAAAACATTAGGAAGACAGAAAACCAGATGACCAGGAGTTAAAATGGTAGTCTGTATAATCCAAAACATGTTGTAATAAACAACAGGCAACTAAGTCTATTAAGATAAACACTGAATTTCAGTTCCTTAGAGAGAATGTGTCAAAACAAGCTAAATATTGTTTCAAATAAACCTGACATGCGTAGTAGTTCAGGTAGTAGTTCAGGAACCAGAGTGAAAGTAGCAGAGCAGCCTAATCGAACACTATGGATGTTTCTGTATAGTCGGCGTGTTGACAGTCAGAAACTCACACAACAACTATCCTGCTCAAAAGGCATCAGCATTTCAAATGTTTCAGCAATTCAATTCAGTTTATTTACATAGCACCAATTCAAAACATATGTTACATCAAGGCACTTTACAGTTCACCAGATCATCCAGTCAAATTGATTCAAAGTTTTTTTATATAGAAAAAACCCAGTTGATTGCATCGACTAGTTGGCTTAAAGGCAATCCCTAACACTAAGTATGCTTTTAGCGACAGTGGAGAGGAAAACCTCCCTTTGAACAGGAAGAAACCTCCAGCAGAACCAGGCTCAGTGTGAGCGGCCATCTGCTGAGGCCGACTAGGGTTCAAGGAGATAGAAGCAGAGATACAAAAGGCAACTGTAAAAGGCCCCTTCCAGGAAACACACAGCTCCCATGTCAGACGATTAAGAGAGCACATCCAGTTAGTCACAGTCAGAGAAACAGGACTACACTGACAAACAGGTTGATCTCCAACATCTATAAACAAAGGTGTT